GTCCGTCCAGTCCTCGTTTCATCGTAATTAACGCATTTACTACCTGACAACCGGACTTCTGTTGGTATAACCCATTCTGTATAACCAGACTTTATCTTAAAAATCTGTGGAAAAAGTTATGATATCAAAATATAAAATTCATTGGATGAAAATATAAACAATTTACTAATTACAAAATTTTATGTTAAATAAAATGACAATTTATGTTTTTTTACAATGTCTCGTCTGCTTGTCCCCATACACTCCCTGCTCAGTGTTGACCTCAAGTTTAAAAAAATACATGGAAACACGTTATAAACATATAGTGGAAAGCAGATTATAGCAGTGTTGTGGTACTGGTCAATTAATAGTTCATTCATGGAATAAATGACATTTTCGTCGGTCGGATTCACTTTATGGTAGGTAATTCGACCTTTCATCATCTTCATACTCTGCATATGGTATGGAATATAAATCACGTGTAAATTTCCTGAACCTCGATGTCTTGGTAAACTTCGAAGATTTCGCTACGATTTACTGCATTTATTTTACTTTCTATAATATTTTGGGTAAATAGATGGCGGTAAATTTCCTGAACCTCGAGGTCTTGGTAAACTCCGAAGATTCCGCCATGATTTACTGCATTTATTTTACTTTCTATAATATTTTGGATAAATAGATGGTGCTCTGTAAGAATATGGATTTTCGCAATGATTACAATAACCTTTTTGACTTCTGTAGCCCTTTGGATCATACATCGGATTCTCGAATCAGATGTGATTGGAAGGAGAACGTATTAAAGAGTCATTGACTTGACAAGATGCAGTTTTAAGTCTTATGCATCAAAAGAGAGGTTGAATTGCGATTCCAATGACTATTTGATAATGAATTGAATTCATGACCCAAGGTCTAGGCTCGAAATAAATTATTGTGTTAGCAAGAAACACTGAGGTCTGGGTATACAAAATAGGTATACCAACAGAAGTCCGGTGTCAGGTAGTAAATGCGTTAACTACGATGAACCGAGGACTGGACGTACCTTATAAGTAGTCTCGAAAGACCGGTGCTTATGATGCTGCATCAAAATCTATATTTTTTAAATCCCCAAAAAATGCTACTTCTTTGTCTTCATCCCCCGTGGGTCACCAGTGTGGGAAAAAGTTATAAATATAAAAATATATAAATCCATTGGATGAAAATATAAACGATTTAATAATTACAAAATTTTATGATAAATTAAAATGACAAATTATATTGTTTTTTTTTCACAATGTTTAGTCTGCTTGATTCCCCACATATCGATAACCAATGACGATTTAGTATTCATGGCGTAACGCATTTCCGTTGCAGTTTCGCTGATATACCTTCTAGTAGTGCCTGAAAAATTTGAAAATTGACAGAATGAAAGATATCTCGTGACAAGATCGACGAATCTCGACGATCACATCAACTCGTTTCGGATGACCACATAGACCAATGACGAATTAGTATTCGTGGCGTAACGCGTTTTCGTTGCATTTTTGCTTTAGTCGCATCTACAGAAGTTTTCCGTCAATTATTACAATAGACATCTACAAATCAAATAAACATTAATAATTTGTAATTCTGTGAGAGATTTTGAGAATCTTTCGTCATCCTCCTCCTGCAGGTGATGTCCTCTTCCGTCTCTCTCTAATGGCATTCGGTTAAAGAGAGTAAGAGAGATAGAGAGAGAGAGGTTGCTCTCTCTCCTCTCTCCTCTCCTCGTCTATATTTCTTCGCGTTACTCTCTTGAATTATGCACCGACTATAACAGAGATGGCGGCATTTCCAAGGAAATCACACAGTGTAACCTGTAACGTGTATTTCTATGAAAGGAAAACGAAAACACGGAGTAAGGGTTAATTCACACAAGGGATGAAAACTCTAGAAAATTGATACAAATCTTAGACAAACCTAAATATGATATATGAACATCAGTGATAACCATTTCATTATAATAGAAAAATGTTATGGCAAGGTCATGCTAAGCACCAACTTCCCTTCTTTATGCTAATGAATCATACTGAATACTGTCAAAATGTCGTGTATTTGCTGTGCATTCAGGCAGTTTTACACATAAACTGCAACGTCACTCGTATGTTATGAAGCTGAGTCAGAAACACCCCGTAATCTAACATCGTTTTTTGGCATTTGTGCGGTTTCTAGGTTAGATTTTCTATCTGACAACCTCATAAATACGCCTGACTGCACAAATTTGCAAGCAACGTGAGTTTAGTGAAACAATTTGTATTATTCGTGATTACTATATATTTTTAGAAATCATTTTTATAGGCAAGACACATACTACAGATGCTCAAAGAATGAGACTGTATCGCCAGCAAAATAGTCAAAAAAAAAACAAACAGTCAATGAATGTATGTTGAATTTAAGCACATGAAATAATGGTTTATTTATTATTTCTAAAAATTAGAACAAAAAATGCTAAAAAACGACTAAACGAATTAAACAAAAGACTTTCACCAATGTTTTTGTCAAATATTAATTTTTGCCAAGAATATTTTTAAAAATTTGAAATCAATGATGACAGCAACCGCATGACTTTTGTCTATATTTATTAAGAAAATTTTTTCATAACATGGCCTTGCCATAGAATCGGTCCTATAATATTGTATTCATACAATTATTCTAAACGAATGATGACACACATGTAGTGCAAAAACGTACAGAAAGATGAGTGAGATAGTTGTAGTATTTATCAAGAGTAAGCAAGACAGATAGTAATGTCTGAGTAAAATGAGTAGAGCAACTGGTGGTGCATGGCATCGTGCCTTAAGGCAAATTACTGGAACTTCCCGTACCAAAAATTTTTTTAAAAAGATTCAATTTTCTTTCAGAACACTGAAAAAAACGATTTTTGACATTTTTAAAATCTTTGAAAACAATTGACCCTTTTGAAAAAATTGATTTTTTTTATACTTTGAAATGTTTTGGAAATTTTGAACTTTTTTTCAAAGCATTCGCGATACGTTAGCTGTGTAGAAATGAAATATAGAAGCGCGTGCACGCCGCGTCGCCGTGTAACTGATAAACATTGGTACGGAAGGAACCCATATAAAAGTAAACAAAACTTGTTCTTATTATTAAAATATTTTTAAAGTTTGTGGTAATTTGATGTGCATATGTCTAATGATTATTTTCATCCGCAAATGTCATTTTTTGTTTTTATTTTAATTGGATCTCCAAAACCTCTAGACCTGCCTTCCCAAAAAATTAAACAGTACATCATTTTGTCAAAATAAATCCAATATTTTATAAATCACTCAAATCGGACATTCTCAATCAACATTTTTGTCTTTTTTTGTCCCGTAACTCCAAAACGGCTAGACCTGCCTTTGCCAAAAACTAATCAGCACGTGTCATCGTCATTAGCAATCGAATGTTTGTTGAATTATTCAAATCGGTTGATCGTTGTTCCCAAAGTCGTCGACGAAAATTTGTATCCGCACACATACATACACGCACACACACATACACACATACATCAATTTTTTCTAAGGTATGCCAAAATGTTCAGAAAACTTTGAAACGTAAAAATGTGCAAAAAATTTATTTTCGATTTTTTTTGCTATTACTATAACTTATCTTAAGAAAAGTTAAAAATTGGGTTGCTTGAGGTTTGGATTTTAAAATTGTTATGTAACAGTATTATACTATATCACAAACCTGATTAAATTCTTGAAACTTCAGTAATACTGTCCAAGATCTTTTATTGCATTTTTTCCAAAGAATAAATTTTCAAAGTTTCAAACAAATTTTCAAAGTTATAAATTGATAGTTTAACAAATAGTTTTAATTCTCAAAATTTTGGGGAGTTGAATATTTTTTTTTAGACTGTGGTCTTAGAAATGTAGTTTATGGTTAAGGTACTAAAAATTAACCACAATAATCAAAAAATCATGCACATAATTTTTTAACGTTGAGTTCTGGGACACATGGTATTTTTTATCTCAACTTTCTTGTTAATTTCGCGTAGTAATCGCGTTTCAAAGGTTTTTGAAAATTTTGGCATACCTTAGAAAAAATGGATGTACTCGTATGTCAAATTTTAGTCGACGATCTCGGAAACACCGATCAACTGATTTGAATAATTCAAAAAATATTCGTTTCCTTTTGATAAAAAGATGTTCTGATCAGTTTTTGGCAAAGGCAGGTCTAACAGTTTCGAAGATAAGAAGCAAAAAGTGCCAAAAATGATAATTCAGTTTTGAGATAACAAAACGTCCGATTTCAATAATTCAAAATACATTTTACTTGCATTGAAATGAACAAATGAATTTTTTGTGAAGGCAGGTCCAGCGTCTCTGGAGATCCAATAAAAAAATTAAATTATTGCCATTTGGCGGTCAAAAATGATCATTAGGCATATGTACATCGTATTATCAGATTTTATACAGAATATAATATATAATAAGTACAAATTTTGTGTACATTTATATGAGTTCCGTACAAATGTTTACACGTTAGACGATTACGCGGCGCTTACGCGCTTTGATACTCCAAACTCCAAATCAGCTACGTAGTGCGATTGCTTAAAAAATGTTCAAAATTTTCAAAAAACAATCAAAATATAAAAAACAAATTTTTCAAAAGAACCAGTTTTTATTTCCAAATTTTCAATCTTTCTCAAAAATCTAATTTTAAAAATTTAGTTTTTGGTAGGGGAAGTTCCAGCAATTTGTCTTAAGGCATGATGCCATGCACCACTAGTTTAGTATTATAATAGTTTTTTTTTTTTGAGTGTGAATCCACCTTTAGCAACTTCCATAAATTTTTGAACACTCCGTATACCCTGCTAGAGTCGCCTTTATTCTTGGATCTATGAATAATATAATTTTAGAATGCACGGATTTTTTTATTTGTCTATTTTATTATTTATTTAATAATTTATTTAAATCATGCTGTAAACAGATACTAAATACTATGGATACTACATTCAATGGTAAAAATCTAGTTATAAACTTTATTGGTATTGTACAAATCTACCAATATACTAAAATTTGATATATAGGTAGAGTATCAAAATTTGGTATGTGGGCAAATGTTTTGCGTAACTCGTCCACATCACAGCAATAAATGTATCCACTTGTGAAATTTCTGAACTTTGGATGATTCCAGTTAGTTAATTTGCACATATTTGGACATAAATCTTCTAAATCATCCAATTTAGCATATGGATCATTCACACTGACAAAAGCAATTGCACCTGCCGTTTGTTCGCGATAAATAACTTTCCAGATATACTTCGGCACACCAAGACATTTATCCTCAGGACTTAGGTAAATTTTCGTAGGATCATTATTGGCATCGTTGTAAGAAAGTGTACCGTAACCTCCTGTGAAAACTTTAAACACATATTCATTTTGAGAGGCATATTTTCGTATTTTGTTCTCCAAAATTTTCCAACTTCCTTGATTTATGGTGTTCCATTGTGGAAGTGCGTTGACTAAAAAATAAGTTGCACTCTGCATTGGTTGAAGGGGAAAATCTGCGGCAGGAACTAATTGACTTTTTTCTAATGAAAATTCATTGTTCAATTTAGTTTGATTTGGTCCTAGAAGCGTTTGGAATGCTGATAGTTGGTTATCTTTTGTGTACAACTTTGATGAATGGACTTGGCATTTGAGTAAATCTGATGTGTGGAGGACTGGATAGTGTTGAGGTTTCTGTCGAACTAGAAAATATTTTATTAAACAAAGTAATATATATATATATATATATATATATATATATATCTTATATATAAAAATGGATCTCTCTTTCAAATGTCCGAATAAAACTCGAAAACGGCTGAATCGATTTGGCCAGTCTTAGTCTTGAAAAATTCGTGCCAATCCAGAGAAAGTCCAAAAGGTGGGAAATTATTTCAAATCCGCGTAAAAACTTTACATTTATAATTTGAAAATTTTTGTAGAAGCGTAATTTAAATAGAACAATGGACGGTGGCAATTTTGTGAAATGTCAAACGCTTTTGACAGATGATGTTCAATTACGTTTAATAGGATGTTTTACGCGAATATTATTTATTTATGATAAATTTGTAGTAAGTAGTTTTGTTTGTAGTTTTATTTATATACAAAAACGTTAGTAAACGGGCAGCAAGTGTTACTAGAGACTCAAAATATAAACTTTTTTGATATGTTAATATGAAAATGCATTTTTGGCATATTTTTCTCAAACACGGTGCTCTGAAAGACCTTATCTGTATAATTATATGTTCATTGGTATTTATAAAACATTTTCTAGGTTATATTATTTTTTATTTATGTTATTTAAATTCAGAACCTAAATTTGGTATCGAAAAAAGATGTATAGCCAGCTACAACCTTGATTTGAAAACGGTAATCTTTGAAATGGGGGAGATAAAGGTAATCTTTGAGAATCCATAATAAAAGTATTTTCTTCCATTGGTAGTTTTTAAGCATTAGTTAAAAATGTAATTATTTTGTAAAATACCTTTAAAACTATAATAAGGCTTTAAATCTTTTTAAAGCCTGTTTCAAGTTACCCCGCCTACAGGGTAAAAAGGTCTAGATACCAAATTTTTGAAAGACATCAAAAAAGCACATTTCTACAATGATGAAGTAGAAGGCAGTTTACTGAACTCAGATAATTGTTCGTTTGATATGTGTTATTTGCTGTGATATAATTGTTATGGTTTTCACAATATAGTTTATATTTGCTCAAAGTCAAATTGGACCTTTGTGCCTCGCCCTGCTCTACATATATACTTTATATTAAATTTACTTTAATTCACCGAATGTTACTTGAAACTTTTCAAAAAGCAGGTAAAAAAAGAAATACTTTTTTGAATTTTAAATATTTATTTTCTATCTCTTCTCGCAAAAATTTGAAAATTTTGTATAAGCTCAGTAGTATTATTTACAATTATACACAAAATTCAGAATCCAAAAAGAATCTGAAAAACTTGAAACGTAATTAATAAGCCGAAAGACCAAAAAAGACTCGGATTGGATTATACGATGTTTTCTATAGGAAGTGTATAAAACTTACAGTTTGATTGTATTGACAAAATATAGACAAACTAATGGGGTTTATTGTTTTTATAATACCTAATTGTATACAGCATTCAAACAACACATCTTTATGCACTTAAAGTATTAATATTTTTGATTCTCTAGAAATGGTTTAGAATATACCTTATTTAGCAAAACAACGTTTGCCGGGTCAGCAAGTATATATATATATATATATATATATATGTGTGTGTGTATATATAGCGCCGTGGATTTTTCCACCCAAAATATTTGCTACAACAATTTAGTCTATTTTAACTACTTCAATTGGTTTTTAGTTATAGTAATATCTAAATTACATTTTTGTCACTAATAATTCAATATACATTATTACTTAAGTTCATATTTTAAGTGAATAATTGCACTATTCAATCTGCGATCAACGAAATTAGTGCAGTAAATAGAGAGGAAAAAGGATGTAACCTGTGAACTTTTTTACTGTGTTCTAATTTGCGTGATGAATTTTGGAATCTCTTGAACCAAATTAATTCTAGATGAAACAATGGCACTCATAAAACTATTTGATTTAAATTAAAAAAAAACAAACCCTCAACAGTACACATTATATAGCTTATTTTGACCACTATAAAACCCAATGGAATAAAAAAACGTAATCTCTCGATCGAAATAAAAAAACGACTTAGCTTTTTCATATCTAGCTTAATATTGACGTGTTAATTTTATTTGATATAATTTTGTTCTTTACATGATTTTCATTAAAATGTATATTTTTTTGGAGATATTTGCAAAATACGAAGAAAAACTCTAAAAATATATGAATTTTTAGTAGACAGTGACTTGAAAAGTATTCGTTTTTTTGACAAACTTCATTAAACATTTTTTTCTTATAATTAGTTCTTCTATCGATATCCAAAGTTATTTTGAAAAAATAAAATTACACCACTGAGAAGGGGTCCAAATTATTTTCACTTCTGAACTTGAGAATAAAATGAACCTTAATTCCAAAATTTCATGCAAATTGGAGCACAGTAAAAAAAATCAAACCCAAAACGCTCCATTTATGAGTGTAAATCCAAAAATTTGCAAACAATTGAAAAATCTGTCACTAAGTATAAGAAGAACAAATTATTTTGATACCTTACTACAACTAAAGGGCCCAAAAACATCTTAAACAAAATTCTAAGAAAAAAAAACGTTAAAAGCTACATTTGATATACAACAACCATATATAAACAATAGTAATAATAAACTAGCTGTAAGTGGAATTCTGTCTTAAGGCAATTAAGGCATCGTGCCTTAAGGCAAATTGCTGGAACTTTCCGTGCCAAAAATTAATTTTTTTAAATTTTACTGCGAAAAAATAAGATTTTTTAGAAATTTTAAATTGGACAAAAAATTACTTTTTTGAAAATTTTTTTTTGGAAAAAATGTTATCTTCATTTTGACATATTTTGGAAGATCTGAACTTTTTTTCAAAGCAATCGTACTGCTTTAACTGCATAGAGACAAAATATAAAGCGCGTAAGCGCCGCGTCGCTGTCTAACGGAACCCATAGGAATGTAAACAAAACTTATACTTATTGTTAAAATCTCAATAAAACATCTGATAATTTGATATGCATATGTCTAATGACTAATGATTATTGTTGACCGCCAAATGTTATTTTTTTTTAGTTTTTTTTACTAGATCTCCGAAACCGCTAGACCTATCTTCATGAAAATTTGATCAAATCTTCATCTTGATAATGCATGTAAAATGTTTTTTGAACTATACAAATCGGACGCTCCGTTCTCTTAAAATCTGAGTTACCGTTTTTGGCCATTTTTGCCAACATACATCAATTTTCTCCAAGGTATGCCAACATATTCAGAAACCTCTGAAACGTGAAGATATATAAAAATTTTCATTTTCGATTTTTTTGCGATTACTTACCCTATGGAAAGTTAATTATAAATAAATCAATTTATCATCTCCAGAACATTAACAATCGTCATTTCATTTCGAATCAAATTCCAAAAAAAAATAGTTGCCAAATTTACACAAAATTGAAAAAGTGCTCCCGCATAGTCACAGTCTAAACGCATTTGGAAATAATTCTGTGCGACATTTTCACTTATACTGTGCTCAGCTTGGCGGCATTTTCACATTTTTCAATAATTTTCACAAAATTGGAAAAGTGCTCCAGTACACAAACAGTCTAAACGCACTTGGGTAAACATTTGTACCAGAGTGGCGCTTAGACTGTGCTTAGCTTGGGTGATTTTTTGAATTTTTTTAATCCAAAATTACAAAAAAATTTTTTTGAAAAAAAAATTAGAAACAAAAAATTTTTTTTTCCAAAATCAATTATTTTGTTGAAAAAAGCAGAAAGTTCTTTGAATCATTTAAATCGGACGTTTAGTTCTCTCAAAAACAGCCATTTTTTTTAAATTTAGCTCTGTATCTCCGAAACCTCTGGGCCTACCTTTGCCAAAAACTAATCAGCACACATCTCCCTATCAATAGGAATCGAATGTTTTTTAAACCATTCAAATCGGTTGATCCGTTCTCTCAAAAACTCGCTTTCTATTTTTTGCACTCTTTGCTCCATATCTCCGTAACGGCTGGACCTGCCTTTGCCAAAAACTAATCAGCACATCTCCCTATCAATAGGAATCGAATGTTTTTTAAACCATTCAAATCGGTTGATCCGTGCGCCCGAAAACGTGGACGAAAAAACGCGGACATACAAAACACACACACACACACACACACACATCCATTTTTTCTGAGGTATGCCAAAATGTTCAGAAACCTTCAAAACGTCGAGAAATGTAAAAATTTTTGATTTCGATTTTTGGACGATTACTATAACTTACCCTACGGGACGTTAAAAAAAAATAGAAAGGAAACTTAAGGTAAGGTTACGTTTTGAAGAATCTACTTCACAAATCCAGAAACGCAGAAACGATGTTAGATAACAGGGTCTTTCTGACTCAGATTCATAACATACGAGTGACGTTGCAGTTTATGTGTAAAACGCCTGAATGCACAGCAAATACACGACATTTTGACAGTGAAAATATAAATTTTATCAGTACATTTTTTACGGAAATAGCACTGTATTATACGTTGATCTGGTATTTTGACAGAAATATTGAAAAAAATATTTATCTCTTTAAAATTGCTTTTCTCAACATATATTACTTTGTATAGAGGTTATATAACAAACTGTTAGATTTAACTTAAAACTAGTAGTGTACGACATCGTGCCTTAAGGCAAATTGCTGGAACTTCTCGTACCGTAATGAAATATTCGAGAAATTTTAAACGTTTTTAAAAATATTATCACAAATAGTGTAACTTTCATTATTTTTGCTATCTTGTTGCAAATTTGTCACCGGAACATTAACAATCGTCATTTCATTTCGAATTCAATTTCAATAGTTGCCAATTTGAAAAAGTGCTCCCGTATAGTCACAGTCTAAACGCATTTGCAATTAATTATGTGCGACAATTTTCACTTGTACTGTGCTTAGCTTGGCGGCATTTTCACATTTTTCAATAGTTTTCACAAAATTGGAAAAGTGCTCCAGTACATAAACAGTCTAAACGCACTTGGGTAAACATTTGTATCAGAGTGGCGCTCAGACTGTGCTTAGCCTGGGCATTTTTTTTTTGAATTTTTAATCCAAAATTACAAAAATATTTTTTGAAAAAAAAAATTACAAACAAATTTTTTTTTCCCAAAAGCAATTATTTTGTTAAAACAAGCAGAAAGTTATTTGAATCAATTAATTCGGACGCTTAGTTCTCTCAAAAACTGCCATTTTTTACATATTTAGCTCCGTGTCTTGAAAATGGCTGGGCCTGCCTTTGTCAAAAACTAATAAACACTTCTCCCAACCATTACTAATTGAATGTTTTTTAGATCATTCAAATCAGATACTCCGTTCTCTCAAAAATCGATTTCTATTTTCTGCACTCTTTGCTCTGTATCTCCGAAACGGCTGGACCTGCCTTTGCCAAAAACTAATCAGCTCTTCTCCCGATCAATAGGAATCGAATGTTTTTTGAACCATTCAAATCGGTTGATCCATGCGCCCTAAAACGTGACTGGAAATTTGTATCCATACATACAAAACACATACATCCATTTTTTCTGAGGTATGCCAAAATGTTCAGAAACCTTCAAAACGTCGAGAAATGTAAAAATTTTCAATTTCGATTTTCGGCCCATTACAATAACTTACCCTACGGGAAGTTAATAACAATACATGGTACAAAACAATTGAATTAGGTACACTCAAAAATTCTATTAAGGTCTCGTAAACTAAACAATAGTGCTCACGACCAAAAAAACCAACAACGAAAGAAAATACTTTACGTTAGTTATGGTTATACATCATTTTCCCTCTACTTATTGTTAAAAAAATTTGTGACTTTACTTGTTGTTGGTGGTGGACGATAAATGTTATGTAAAAACTTACACTTTAAACTTTTTCCATGTATCTCATGAATTGTAAATATTGTTTCCTGGACATACTTAGAAAAACAAATTCCAAATAGATCAACACTTATATCTTTGTTGATTTCGAATTGAATTTTTGAATATGCTGCCAATTCTTTTTTAGCACATAAAATATCCGTGGTATATAATTTTGGAGATAGTGTTTTACGACACTGAACTGGCCTTGTTAGAGGTCTGTAAAGTTTTTCGGGATAAAAATCCGATCCTTGGCAAGTTATGAAGTCCAAATCATCTGAGGAAAAGCATAATAAAAATTAAATTTAACTAATTAAATTTTACTAATATTTTGGTTCACTGTACCCTCAATTTGTAGTAATTTATTTTTGGCGTTACTGCAACCGTACTTGGCAAAAATTGGTAAATTGTGACTGTTAGGATACCAGAGTCTTAATTCATTCTTTTTGTGCTTGGGCATAAAAATCAATGGTTGTTTTCTGCGCAAACTTCGTATTTTGTATCTGCAACCTAAAAATAAAAATAGTAACATACGTACAAAACTATATTTGTATGTAAATAAAATAAATCTCAGTTAGTCTATAATTACCTTCGGTAATTTTTATACGCTCCCTTATTAGCGACTCAGCACAAAATTGTCTTCTCAATCCTGATTTGTGTTTTAACTCAAAATCTAAGTCGCAATTTGCAGTTTTTTTCACATTCACAGTTATTGCACCAAGAATATTCTGAGCTATAAATCAAATGAAAAAGAGAAAATCGAAAATTTTCGGGGAGTTATTAAAAAAATCTAAGCTTTTATTGAAAAATCCAAGGCCAAAAAATTGAAGGTTTTATTAAAAAAATGCAAGGCTATAACAAAATTCTAACCTATGTGAAAATTACATGACTTTATCAACATTACCAGGATATTTTTAGGATTTGCAATACTATTAAAAATTTTAAGATTTTATCAATAACGTCAAGTTTTTATTCAAAATTCTAAACATTTATCAAGAATGAAGATTTTATGAAATTAATCAGAAAGAAGATTTTATGAAGCAAATTGCAAAACTTTCTTAGGTAAATTCCAAGGTGCTATTAGGCAAATTCTAAGATTTTATTAGGCAAATTCCAAGACTTTATTAGAAAAACTTGATGGCCCTATCAAGCGATGTTTAAAATTCTAAGACATTATTAAAAATCCAAGACTCTATTCCAAATTCCAAGACTCTATTTAAAATTCAAACATTCTTAAAATTTCAAACTTTCTAAAATTCCAAGGCCTCATTTAAAATTTCCAAGTCTTATTTAAAATTTCCAGGCTCTATTTAAAATTCCAAGGTCTTTTTCAAAATTCCAAAGCCCTATTTATAACTCCAAGGCCATATTAGGCAAATTGCAAGACTTTATTAAAAAAAACGCTATTGCTCTATCAAGCAAGTTTCAAGACTATTTATGAATCCAAGACTCTACTTGAAATTTCAAGACTCTACTTGAAATTTCAAGACTCTACTTGAAATTTCAAGACTCTACTTCAAATTTCAAGACTCTACTTAAAATTCCAAGACTCTACTTAAAATTCCAAGACTCTACTTAAAATTCCAAAACTATATTTGAAATTCCAAGACTCTATTTGAAATTCCAAGACTCTATTTGAAATTCCAAGACTCTATTTGAAATTCCAAGACTCTATTTGAAATTCCAAGACTCTATTTGAAATTCCAAGACTCTATTTGAAATTCCAAGACTCTATTTGAAATTCCAAGACTCTACTTGAAATTCCAAGTCTCTACTTAAAATTCCAAAACTCTACTTAAAACTCCAAGACTCTACTTAAAATTCCAAGACCCTACTTAAAATTCTAAGATCCTACTTAAATTTCCAAGACTCTACTCAAAATTACAAGACTCTATTTGAAATTACAAGACTCTATTTGAAATTACAAGACTCTATTTGAAATTCAAACATTCTTGAAATTACAAACTTTTTAAAATTCCAAGACCTTTTTCAAAATTGTAAGACTCTTTTAAAATTCCGAGACCCCATTTAAAATTTCAAGACCCTATATAAAATTTCAAGACTCTATTTAAAATTCAAACATTCTTAAAATTACAAACTTTTTAAAATTCCAAGGCTCCATTCAATATTCCAAGGCCCCATTTAAAATTCCAAAGCTCTATACAAGACGCAATTTAAAATAGCAAAACACAACATAAAATTACAAGACCCAATTTAAAATTCTAAGACTCTATTTAAAATTTAAGCATTCTTAAAATTACAAACCCTATTTAAAGTTCCGAGACCCTATTTAAAGTTCCGGGACCCTATTTAAAGTTCCGAGACCCTATTTAAAGTTCCAAGGCCCTATTTAAAGTTCCAAGACCCTATTTAAAATTCCAAGACCCTATTTAAAATTCCAAGACCCTATTTAAAATTCCAAGACCCTATTTGACATTCCAAGACTTTATTTGACATTTCAAGACTCAAACATTCTTAAATTACAAACTTTTTAAAATTTAAAGACCCCATTTATTATTCTAAGACCTCATTTAATATTCCAAGCTTGTTAAAATTCGTTGTTTTTGATAGTTCCAAGATTTACATAGTAATTTCAAAATTTTAGTAAAAAAATCAAGATTTTATTTTACCTTCCCAACTAAATTACAAATTGGATTTATTGTTAATATTTTATCATAGAATTTGAATTTTTTGGAAGTACAGTCTTTCTATATATATATATATATATATATATATATATATATATATATATATATTTAGGTTGTCAAATATCTCCCTTCCGCTTTTTTGCTCTTTATTCAAAAGACAAAAAGGCGGAAGGAAGATATTTGACAACCTTATATATATATATATATATATATATATATATATATATATATATATATATTATATCTTACTAATGTTTTGTATCCATTCAGCAACATCAAAACCTTCAGGTTGAATTTTAGTTTCCTCGATTAATAAATTTTTAACGTCGTTTATGAATTGTTTATTTAAATCAGTGCGGTTTATGATATTATCAAAAGCTATAAATGCTTCAAACAATATATTATCTATTAAATCAGTTCTGTTATCTGGAACTCAAACAAAATAGTAACTTAGAAACAATAGAAGATTATATATAGATAGAAGGCACTGTGACGTCACATGTCTGAGCGAACATCGCCGACGACAGTCGCGGAACACTCCCGATTGATGTAATGTCATATGTAATAATATAATGGCAATTGTGTTGGCTGATTATTTTGTAAGAAATGATATTAATAATATTATTAATGTACATAAAATCGAATTCACCTGTTAAAATTACAAGGCCTATGTTAGGCTCGTAACACATGACATAGGGCATTTGATAAATCGGAAGAGTCCGCGATTGACGTCGTCAATGTTCGCTCAGACATGTGACGTCACAGTTTTCTTCTATGTTTGAGCACTTTATACAAAGAAAAATATACGAGGACTAGCAGTCCATGTAGTGTAATCACATATATTATTGGTATTATTTCGTAAAATAAAATCTAACAATCATAACTGTATCCACTGCACGTTAATAATAAACCAAACATAGTAACAAATTTAAAATTCATTTTTCTGTACATAAAAAATCTTTTGTTATGTATTTCGATAACTTTGACTTGCTGTCGACTGTGCAAAATCGCGATTTCTGTAATATTGCGTATCTATTTATAAAGTGTGATGTGGTTTATTTATTTTACGGTCACAAAATGTTTCCTTCAATTCGCATATTTGTTTAGTGCAACAATTAAATGACGACGATGTGTAAATATTTTGAGAATTTTATCATATGTCTGGTTTATTAATAAGCTTATACCTCATTTTAATAATGATAATGAACTAAAAAATAGTATAAGGACCTAATGAAGGTTAACTTGAGAAATTTGGTTCTAAACTATTTTTTTTTTCTGAAAAAAAAACACAAGAAATGTCTAAGTTGTCTGTCACAATACCTTTAATAACTAGTTGGTTTGGTATTTAGCCTTCAGGCAAATTACATGAACTTCCCGATATGTGTAAATAATCGACTTAATAAAAAAAAAGTGTAAATAATATACGGCTTAAATTTTTTTTCAACAGTTAATTACAAGAAAACGGCTCGGTAGATTTTCACCTAAAACTAATCAGTATCATTCCCAACTAATATCTTTCGAACAGTTTCTGATTTTTTAAAATCGATTCGGTAGGATTAGCTTAAATGTGGACGAAAAGTTTAACATTTTTTTCAAATTGCAAAGAACGTGCTGGCAGATCGTCGCACAAAACTGACAAACGATAGTCCTCACCGAAATACATCAAATGGCTTTTAAATTTCTAAAATCAGTTCAAGCGTTTTTGAGAAAACGTCGATCAAAAGTCTAGTTTTGACAAATGCCAAAAAAACGATACCAATTTTTGCAAACTTTGACGAATTTTTAAAGCTGAACCAGTTGTCGTAGGGCCGTAATATTTTAGTATGATCTAGAATACTATGGTATCTATCGTCAAAAAAATAATCATAAAAATCGTCGAAATTTTTTTTTAAAAAACTTTATTACAAGAAAACGGCCCGGCCGATCTCTACCAAAAACTAATCAGCACGATTCCCAACCAATATCTTTCGAACGGTTTTTGAATTTTCAAAATCGATTAAGAATTGCGGGCTAAAACGTAGACGAAAAAATTTTCACTTTTCTGCGATTTATAAAGAAACGGCTCGGCCGATCGTCGCACAAAACTGACAAACAATAGTCCTCGTCGAGATACATCGAATGGCTTTTAAATTCTTAAATTCGGCCCAGCCGTTTTCGAGAAAACGTCGATTTGGGGCAAAAAATCTGTTCACATACACACACACACACATACACACACATACACACACACATACTTTTTCCAAATTTGGTCTCATTCGATTCAGAATGGCTTGAAACGTCGAGAAAACATAAAATTAGAGAATCGGATTTTTTGATGAAAACATAAACTTCTCCTTCGGGAAGTTAAATATCTAAGTAATGTGTCACAATGTCTTAAATGAAAAAACAAAAACAATTTCCAAACAAATTTATTTTTACACAACTCCTTTACCTTTACCCAGCATTAAACACTAAAAACTCTTTACTAATAAGTGCAGGTACAACCTGCACAACCCTTCTAAAATCTGCAATATTACAACAAAAAGTGTACCCTTGGCCCAATTCTACGAACTCATATCTTGCCCATTTGGTCTGCAAACAGACATCCCTGCAAAAAGTTGGCGGTGCAGATTTCAGAAAAGGGTTGTTGATGACCACCAGAACTATCCCTTCACCGGTCAAATCGTTGTGGACTATTTTCCAGAGATATTCTGGTACTGGTATCTTCTTGTCTGCAACCAGATAGAGTTCTTGGTATACCATGTTTTCATCTGGAAGGGAAAGGATTCCGTGGGTTCCTGAGTAGATGGAGAAGTCTGCTCTACGAAAAACCTGGGGATAAATAAAGGACATATGATGCAAACTTTTTGGTTTATAACAATCTATCCTTTATCTTACTGCTAGTTGTCTAATCATCTCCTGAATTCGTCTCCAATTTCCATTCCTGATACTAGTCCATTGTGGGCAAGAATTGATGTAAAAATATGTAGCACTTTGCTGAGGTGCAAAAGGAAAATCGTGATCTGGTGCCAATTGCCCTGGCTTCAGGGTAAACTCATTGTTGATGTACAGACGATACTTGTTTTTACCCAAAATCCTGGAAAAAGTCTGCACCAATGATGCATTGTTATAGGCCTTGGTGTATGAAAGTCCTGAAGGACTTCCTGCTACTTTGTATTGTGGTGGATGCTTATTATCAATTGTCCTAACTAGAATTAAATAGTTGGTTTAATTTTGGGTTTTGGTGGTTTGGTTTTTAAGGTATACTTACACAATGATGATGTTCCTGATTGTCTATGAATCGTATACAAGACGCTGGCTTTATGTGTTGCATAACACACAGAAAATAAGGTCACAAACTTCTCCTGCCTGATATCAAATCCAATATGGGACCAAGTACCAAAATTATTACCACAAGGCTTCTTGGTAACCAAAACATCACCATCCACAGGATATTTACACGAAACTAGTTCTGCTGGTAAAGACTGTACACCAAATCTCAATTTGTGACCGGAACAACTTGCACGAATTCTTGGAACTAAAAACAAAAACTTCACGTAAACTTTGGAATCAAAGTTTCAAGAAATCAAATGAAACATTTATAATTTTCAAAAAAAGAGAAATCTACTTAAAAAATACGCCCAGTTCTCGAGTTAACACATTTACTCTAGCCTTGACACCGGACTTTCGTTGGCATCCTCATTCTGAATTTCTAAGAAAAGAGACCTGACACAAAATTTATTTTTTTAACAAAATATTTGGCAACAAGCTTACTCTAATATAAAACAGTATCACACTTTAATTTTGCTGAATGATGGCTGGGATAATAGCCGAAACGTATAGAAATCAAATGAAACATTTATAATTTTCAAAAAAAGAGAAATCTACTTAAAAAATACGCCTAGTCCTCGAGTTAACACATTTACTCTAGCCCTGACACCGGACTTCCGTTGGCATACCTCATTCTGAATTTCTATAAAAGAGACCTGATGCATATTTTTTTTTTAACAAAATATTTGTCAACAAACTTACTCTAATATAAAACAGTATCACACTTTTCTAAGACAGAAATCCTTTTTTTAAGACAGAAAATTAATTACCTTGGTTTTCA